ACAGACACTTGAATAGCGCACATTTTTCTAGGTTAACATTAGATTGAGGGGCCATTTAAAGGGTTAGTTCACCCAAAAATGAAAATTAGCCTGTGTTTTACTCACCCTCGAAGCATCCTAGGTGTATATGACTTTCTTCTTTCAGACGAATCCAGTCGGAGTTATATTAAAAATTGTCCTGGCTAATCCAAGCTCTATCATTGCAGTTAGCGGGTGTTGCAGTTGAACATTCCACAAGTCCTCAAATAAAGCGTGCGCATCCATAATAAAACATGCCTCACACGGCTACGGGGGGTGAATAAAGGCCTCCTGTAGCAAATCCATGTGTTTTTGTAAGAAAAATATTCATATTTCAAACGTAACAAACACATCTCTCTCACTTCCGGTTTCTGTCATGCGCGGAAGCCATTCCGGCGGATGACGTAAGACGTCTGCGTTGCGTGAATAGTGACGAATACGGAGAGAGAACAAAACAAAACGCCAGTCACGAATTAGAAGTACAAACCGAGGATTTGCAAAGAAAAATGTCGGAGAATTTCAATATAAACCAAAAGGAGACTGGTTTTCCTTTGCTAAAGTAAGAAAACTTTGCTTCCTTTGCTCCTATAAACAAACTCGCGAGACTAGCATATCTCAGAGGCGGCACGCTGTGCATACGTGCTGCGTCATCCACAGGATCGCCTTACGCGTATGACAGATACCGGAAGTGAGAGAAAAGTGTTTATTACATTTGAAATATGGATATTTTTCTTACAAAAACGCATGAATTCACTACAGGATGTCTTTATTCACCCCCCAGAGCCATGTGAGGCACATTTTATTATGGATGCGCGTGCTTTATTTGAGGACTTGTGGACTGTTCAACTGCAACACCCGCTGACTGCAATGATAGATCTTGGAATAGCCAGGACAAATTTTAATATAACTCCGACTGGATTCGTCTTAAAGAAGAAAGTCATATACACCTAGGATGCTTAGAGGGTGAGTAAAACACAGTCTAATTTTAATTTTTGGGTGAACTAACCCTTTAATGTCGAGCCCTGCCCGTGATGTCTTAGGTGGGTGCCCGGAAGTATAAAAGGGCACCTGCTGAACATGTGACCAACTTAGTTGTCTGAAGGAGACAAGAAACAGGCAGGCAGAAGCTCACATGAGGGAGATCTGGACCACCAGTAAATTATTTACTAAAGAGCGAACACTTAAAATATCCTTAATCAGGAATCAGAGCCTGATGTAAGCAGTGGCCATAACACTAGAGGGGGGAGAAAGGAAAGGTTGGGAAAAGAATGATCAAGAAGTGCCAGCCTTGGGATGCTGGCGATCACCACATCTCTTATCTAGCATGTCCCTGAGATCCATTTTCCCTCTGTTAGTGTTAGCCTTCCATTGCCAACTCCTAGAGGGAAGAGGAGCTCAGTTAGCAACACTAGACTTCTGATTTTGTCTATGAGCCTCAGCGATAGACAGACTATCCTCCCTAGAGGAAGATTTCTTCCTTATGGCCACTAGGTTGATCCACAGATGCCTCTCTGTAGCCACCATTGAACACCAATGGCAGCAGCAGTTTACTTGGTGGCACAGAGAGCTAGATCTGTAGTGCAGCACAGCTCCTCAACCACCTCAGGAGACAAACCTCTGCCCTTATCCAAATCTCTTAGCAAGTCATTTCCTATAAGGCTTGTAACACTGCCATGGTGTGCAACGCTCCACCAGCCTGACCCGCTGCTACATACGCCCTGCAATAAAAGCATGATGACTCACCATGCGCAAACGTCTCTTCAACAGGGGGCATCCTCGTGTATCCACACTCGGCCACACCCTCAACGTTAGCATAGTCAGCATGTTGAAAGAGACGTAACTGGAATGAATACTGTTTCCCCCAGGATTTAGATATCTCCAAGTGGAGATCTGGGAGAAATGGAAGACTTCTGGGGGCGGGACAATCAAGGCCGGCCAGAAAACACTCATCTAGTTAGGCATAGGCCTTAATACAACAAAGTGAGATCGAGTCGCTTAGTGGCACGATCCATCACCTCCAGCCATAAGCGGAAATCCCGGGGGGGTCGGGGGGGGACAGGACACAGGACTTTCCTATTTCACATCACACATACACAAGTCCGGTGAGAGAGAACAAAGTCAGTAGTTGTGGAAATCCAGTAAGTAAGGCTGTCAAGGCTATTTTATTCACTTAAACATCGGATGAAGTGATTATTTTCTCTTTAATACAGATGATACCAATGTATTTTTCGGTGAGTCGCTATGTTTGCAATAATAACATGACCTGCTTGACGGAAAGGGTTGCCAGGTTTTTTACAACAAAACCCTCCCAATTGCTACTCAAAACTAGCCCAAACTAACCGCATTTCGAGGGGTTCCCCGGTAAAAACCGCGTTCCGGGGGTTAAAATACACGTTATTGGGTTTAATTCAACCCGCGGACATGAAAAACAACCCGCGGCAACAGTGATAAAGTAGCCCAATTCCCCGGGAAAACCACGGACTTGGCAACACTGTGACGGATAGTAATGTCAACAACGGACACGAGCGCTGTCGCGGCGCGACCACAGCTTGAAGTTGTCTAATTTGGCACGGTCTCCTCTGTGCATGCATATCCTTACAAGTACAATTTTAGCTGTATTATTTGTGTCCCCTTCAAACATTGATCTTGAGAAATATTATATTTATTGCCCCCCCGCCTCGAGTGGCCAGTGACAACTCAGTGCTCACACTATCATTGTCGTCACCAACCACATCTATCTCTTCATCATCATCCTGAAAAGAATAGCCCAGCAGCACGCTATCAGGATCAGATGACTCCAGTGATAGAGTGATCGAGCTTGCAGCCGGAGTTCGACCTGCGATCCCCACAAGCTGAGTTTCCACCATGCCTCAGCCGCAGTGGGACCCGACCCACGAGGTGCAGACACTTGCACCTCTTCCCTCGAGAAAAGAGATAAATGTGATCGGAGCTTCCGCATAGTGAATTTCTCACAATGCACGCATTCAGAGCCCTCAAGTACTGAACGTGCATGCTCCTCACCCAGGGACAAAACGCACAAGTTGAATACTTGAAACAATTCTTGAAACGCTCGCTCAGTTTCGCAAAAATAGTACACACTGCTTGCAAACAAATAGCTCCTGAAGACAACAAAAGTTAGTGACATGTTCAGCAGGTGCCCTTTTATAATTCCGGGCACCAGCCTAAGATGTCACGGACTACATGGACCAATAGGACTGGAGTTTTTTCACACATGCGGGCATCATTCCCCAAAATGTCCTCTAGAGGATGCAGCGCGAGTTCCCTCTCGGGGAACTAATGTATCACCTCTCTTAGGATCAACATGCTCACTAATTATTAACTTAAAGTGTGCTGTTGCAATCCTTCTGTAATTCGTATAATAAAAAGGAAAAAAAAAATCTTAACAAAAAAAATTAACTGGTTTCATTATTATTGTTGTTATTATTATTTTCTCAAAAATATGAATGTAGTTAAATCAGGCAGAAATAGTTCTTTAAGGTAACAACTGCAGGCTACCACTTTTTACAGAGTACTAAGAGAGGATAAAACACAAAAAAACAGAGCACATATTCTGCTGTATATAAACAATTGAAAGGGTTGTGTCGCTATGTGGGTGGCAGCTCAGTTAACTGCCAGCACAGCTAATCTAAAGCAGACCCAGCATCCATAACAGCCTTCTATTTTCACCTCTGCTGCCAAACCCTCTATATAGACATTTCTAGATTCCAGTGAGGCAGATTCCATGTGGGGACTCCATTTGAACAGTATAAAGGAAATTTTATTTACTTCTAAATTATGTTTTCTGTGAATATTTGTGTAAGTATTTTTGTTTGGGTGTCTCATTTCCTATGAGGGAATACAACATGTGTGTACATTTCCTGAAACAGAGGTGGCTCTCATACTGTGGCTTGTTTTCAAAGTTCTACCACAGGCCACACACATACTGCTTTCAAATCACATACAGATGTACAAATAAATTCACCTACAAGGGTAAGTGTGCACACACAGAAACACATGCACACAATGTAGTTGTATAACTTTTTGTTGTAGGGGTTCCTGGGGGCCATTTAAAACAACTCAAAAAGTTTGCAACCTCGCAAACCTAGCTCTGCTAAGGCTGGCCACACACTAGACGATTTTAACACCAATTTTAAGCCCGATTTGTACCCCCAAATGATTGGGGGTGTGTGGCCCTATTCGAGGTTTGTCGCAAACAATTTTATGTCCAAAAAATCCTCTATTGTGAGGAGTCATTACGATTATTTAACTGCTCCCGATCGAGACGGAGAGCTACCGTCCTGCAGATTTCAGCTCCAACCCCAATCAAACACACCTGAACCAGCTAATTAAGGTTTTCAGGGTTACTTGATAATTATAGGCAGGAGTGTTGGAGGAGCAGGGTTGGAACTGAAGTCTGCAGGATGGTAACTCTCCAGAAACAGGGTTGGAGATCCCTGGTCGAAGCTATAGTATGTGCAGTGTGGCCTATTGTGTCGCCAGCATTTGATTACACACATACACATTCAAATGGTTAGAACACAAAGTATATGTAAAATTGTTAGCAATATTTCTTCTTGGCATCAATATGGCTATCCACTATAATTAAGACAGTGGTATATTTATGACACTGTAGGAGGGTTATAAAGTCATAAATATGCACTTAACTACATATAGCTTATTTAGCAGGCACTTACGTTTCAATGCTGGGTACATTGGTACAGTGTTGGTAATGAGAACGGCATCATATCTCACTTCCTGAGAGGAGGACAACTCTATAAATCAGAAGATAATGAACAAAAATTAGACAAATACCAAATTATAAAGCATTGTATTCAAAATTCTTGCAATTTGCTGACAATTTTGTGTACTAAAAACAATGCTATGACCCAGTCTAGACAAAAATAAGTATTTGTTCTTGACCAGTGCTATCAATTGAGATTTTTCGGTTTATTTTTCATTTTAAAGGTGACCTATTATGCCTCTTTTTAAGGTAATATAGGTCCCAGCTGTCCTTAGAATGTGTCTGTGAAGTTTCAACTCAAAATACCCACAGCTCATTTATTATACTATGCCATATATGTCACTTTTTGGATATAATCCAAAGCGTGCTATTTTTGTGTGTATCTTTAAATGCAAATAAGCTGCTTCTCTCCACCCCCTTTCCAGACGAGGATTGTCGGTGCGTTCCAAACGGGATATATCACCCTCCGAAGGGCACTTTGGAGTGAAAACAATCAATGACGGCACCTCCATGTGGGCACAGAATGAAGAAGAAGGGCACTTCAAGAAACAGTTGCTTGGTCCCCTACACCTTTCAAAGCTCTTACTCCAGAGGGTAAACCATTTTAAGGGATTAGGGCATAAGGATGAGCCCTTCCGAATGGAATGCAGGGTGTGTTTCTCATGCCTTGGATACAATAAAGCAGGAGAACCAATATGTACCTGTAATATGTATATGTAGGAATGACACTGAAAATGGACATACACCAGCAGAATGAATAACTCTGACAATGCAAGAGGATGTTTCTGAATGTTTAGTTGATAAATTAATGTTATTGTTGTTTTTCAGCTGTTTTGCAATGATGGATGAGCAACACATTAAATACTGTAATGATGTTTGCTATGCACTATAAAGACACATGTATAGTAGAACTTTAGAAACACCACTTTGCATAGTCAATATAAAAAACTGGATGATGAGTAATTTCTTACTGCTAAATTCTGAAAAAACAGAGGTGTTAATTATAGGACCTAAAAACTCTGCATATAATAACCTAGAACACTCCCTACGACTTGATGGCTGCTCTGTCAATTCTTCGTCATCAGTTAGGAACCTAGGTGTGCTATTTGATAGCAATCTTTCGTTAGACTGCTCTAGCAAGGAGATAAACATGACAGACTGTCAACAGCTAACTCGGGGGAGGATCAAAGCTAATAGGGAACATTCCATCACAGTCGTGGTTGGTACCTTTCCCAATGTGATTTGGGAAAACACATTTGGTTGCAGACATGAGTGACTCATTTGTAGATATTGTTTTTTGATCTATGGGGAAAAAAGGAGTGGGTGGATTTTTACTATATAGGGTGGTTGTATACACACACTGCAGACACAAAATTCTGTTCAAAAATAATTATAAGTTAAAAAATAATTGAATTTTTGCATAATAGGTCCCCTTTAATAGTAACTTTTAATTTTATTCTTTAATAGTTTCATTTGGGTCCAATAAACTAGATCATCAGGACAGAAACTGATTAAGCCCAGTGCTATACTAGTTCTGTCCAGTTGGCTCCTGGAACTTTGGTACATGAAACTGCTGAGGCTAGGCTGCACACTATAGAGAGAGTAGGAAACCTCACGAGGTGGATAGAGGAAGCTGTAGGAGATCTGTTTGTCTCCGTGGTAGTTTGAGCAGGACTGACTGTAGGCTGAAGGAACTCTAATATCAAGCCGAACACAGTTACTCAGAGCCTCAGTCAGAGGGGTGAAATCTACCTGCAACAGAACATCCACACAGTCAGGTTTAGACTATAATAGAACAGTCAACAAGTTTATTTATTTAATTTGTTTTGTGAACTGACAACAGACCAACATAATTTTGTAAACTGTACCTGTTTAGATACAGTATAAGACGTCCAGAGAGGCATGGACAAAGCTTCACTGTAGCCACTAATGTAGTCACTATGATGAAGGATGTAGTACTTGGTGCGGAACATGACTGCTGGCCGACCGTAGGGAAGATTTCTGTTGTCTAAAAAGGAAAAAAATAGGCAAGAGTAATCTTTTAATATGAAAAAAAGTGACAAAATATTACTACATCTGAAACCACATGAGGGTGAGTAAATGAAAACAGAATTTTCGTTAGTTCACCCAAAAATAAAAATGATGTAAATTATTTACCAGCATGGAATTTCATATGACTTTCTTTTTTTCTATGGAACATAAAATGAAAAATTCTGCAATGCCCTGATCTTTCCCACACAATGAAAGTGAAGATTGGGGCTCCAAAAAGGAATTTTAGGCACCAGTAGAGTCTGTGTGTAGCAATGCCATTGCATACTTGAATGCAATGTAGGTAATTTTGGATTAAAGCATTGTAATTATCAGTGAATACATTTTGGTCACATATCGCATGACTCCAAAAGACAATAGCACACAAGTTGAACTATCAACTCCTAGATACTTACATCATGTTGTTTGACAGCTGTGGTCACTATCAACTGTCATGTATGGAAAAGATAGTGTATACTACAAAATTTCTCCTTTTGCATTTCTTGGAATTTCATTATGAACCATAGCAGCTAAATCACAGTGCAAGTTAAAGGGATAGTTCACCCAAAAATGAAAATTCTGTCATTAATTATTCACCCTCATGTCGTTCCAAACCTTCGTAAAATTACGGTTGAACCCCTGATGTCACATGGATTATTTTACTGATCTCCTTGCTACGCTTCTGGACGTTGATCGTGTTAATTACATTGCTGTCTATGGGAGGGTCAGAGAGCTCTCAGAATGCATCAAAAATATCTTAATTTGAGTTCCGAAGATGAACGGAGGTCTTACGGGTTTAGAACGACATGAGGGTGAGTAATTAATGACAGAATTTTCATTTTTGGGTGAACTATCCCTTTAACTGTACATCAAACAGCTCATTCAGCATCACCACACCAATCTAAAGAGAAGGGAATGGAGTTACCATCAATAACTTGTCTCAGTCGTTGATTGAGCTCTTCCACCTTGTTCTGTAACAGACAGAGCCACAGTGACTCCAGGTTATATCCTCTTACTAGGGTCACTTTCAATGCCCTCTGCCCCCTACTTTTTGAACGCAACTGCAAAAGATTAAAGGTGAAAACCTCCAGCAAACGATCTACATCTGAGCAGAAATCAAAAGCACTTTTAGAGGCAAGGGGACGAATCACTTTGATCCAATAAAAGGAACTGGAAATGTCAAAATAATCTATAGGCCAGGGGTTTCCAAACCATTCCTTGAGCTTCCCCAGCACAGCATATTTTTGGATGTCTCCATTATTTAACCCAGCTGATTTAAGTAATCAGCTGAAATCATAGTCTTCTGTCACATAACTTGCAAAGAGACCCGTACAAAACATGCAGAGAACTGCAGTACAGACTTGTCACGTTTCTATAGCTCCGTTTCCACCGCAGGAACTTTCCCCAGGAACTAGGGACTTTGGGCCGGTACTCGGTGTGTTTCCACCGCAGGAACCAGGATCTAAATAAAGTTCCGGGTAAAAATTTGCCCCTCAGAAAGGCTCTGCTTGCGAGGTAGTACTTTTTCAAAGGTCCGGAACTTTCGGGGGTGGGACTTGCGTGCTGAGCATGCTGATTGGTTGAGTTCACGCAGCATTGTATTTCAACCACCACATTCGCATAATTTAAAAAAAAAATATTACTGTTATTGTGTCATGAAATTTAGTTTTAAAAGTATTTCAGGCGAGAATGTAGTTGTTAAAAACTCAAATCTGCAGTTTTTTTATAAAGACAGCGGCTATTTGAAAATGTACTTCGCCGATTTCGGAGACGTGGGCTCCACGCAATAACCGGGTGCTCATGCTCATATATCCCGACGAGAGCAACCTCACCTCGGCTAGTCCTTCTGACATTTGCCGCTGGCTCTGATGTCTCTGCAGTGGTTAAACATAAGATGTAAATCGTTTTGGGTAAATCTAACAGGTAATCTTTGGTCATTATTCTATTATTCTATTAATCTATTAATATGTTAAGATAAAAATTAAAAGAGGCAATACTGTTTGATATAATATTTCGTTTCATTGTAATGTATGTACATTCCCTGAACTACATTTCTGCGGCTATTAATATGTTTAAATGAAAACGAAAACAGGCAGTGGTGTTTAATATCATATTTAATCTTATTGTAAATACAGTGAGGAAAATTGCAGTAGCCAAGGTGAGCTGACTGATGTTATCAAGTGTGCTGCTCTTTGCAGAATTACCGGACTTGCGTCGTCCCGTCCGCGGGAGTTCACACTCCTGAGTCGAACTCGCGAATTTCGAACTACCGAGGATGCAAGTCCACGCGCAGACCTACGTCACCAGACTATTTGCCTATTCTTCGCGGTACTTTAAACCGCGATGGAAACGCAGACAGCAACAGGTCTGGGGAAAAAAAGTTCCTGGGACAAATTGTTCCAGGTAATTTCGGTGGAAAATTTGCTTATTTGTTTCAAGGAATGAATATTTAAGTCCTGTTTCCACCGCAGGAACTTTCCCCAGGAACTAGGGACTTTGGGCCGGTACTTGGTGTGTTTCCACCGCAGGAACCAGGATCTAAGAGTTCTGGCTAAAGATTTGCCCCTCAGAAAATCCCTGCTCGCAAAGGTCCAGAACTTTCGGGGGTGGGACTTGGGCGCTACATGCTGATTGGTTGAGTTCACGCAACACTGTATTTCAACCACCGTTGAAAATGTGCTTCGCTGATTTCGGAGACGTGAGCTCCACGCGATCAGTGGGTGCTCAGTGCTCATGTTTCCAGACGAGAGCAGCCTCCACACAGCTAGTCCTTCTGACATTTGCCGCTGGCTCTGATGTCTCGGTTAAACATAAGATATAATTAGTTTTGGGTAAATCTAACACAGGGGTGTCAAACTCAATTCCTGGAGGGCCGGAGCCCTGCAGAGTTTAGATTCAACCCTAATTAAAAACACACAATCCAACTAATCAAGTCCTTCAGGCTTATTTGAAAACTACATGGTATGTGTGTTGGAGCAGGGTTGAAACAAAACGTCTTGGTTACGCATTGTAACCCTCGTTCCCTGAAGGAGGGAACGGAGACGTCACGTCGGATGACTGACGAATTGGGATCTCGCTTAGAGAGATCTACTTCGAGTGTAAACTAAACGAGCCAATGCACATTGGCATGCGATTATTGCATCCAGCTGCCGCTGATCACAGCGTGAGTATAAGTAGGCAGCCGGTGCAGCGCATATTCAGGTTTTCGCTGAGGAGCCGAGCCGGTGACCCGGCCGCTCAGCGGTGGTACAGGAGCTGTGGCGACGGGACATGACGTCTCCGTTCCCTCCTTCAGGGAACGAGGATTACCATACGTAACCGAGACGTT